GAAACAAAGCCCTATGAGGAGTGACTGAGGAAACTGGACTACTTTAGCCATGATAAGAGAAGACAGAGGGGAGATAGGACAGCCTCCCGCACATACTTGAAAGGGTATCACAGACAGGAAGGTCAATATCTCTTCTTGCTCACCCCATTGTGTAGGAGCTGGAACAGTGGACTCAGGATGAAAAAAATCAGGCTGCATATCAGAAAATTCTTCTTTCAGCAAAATTACAGTGGGACCAGTAAGGCAGCTAGCTCTCCCACACTGGATGAATTTCACATGCTACTCATATGTCATGTGAGTAGGATGTTGTAACTTGCTGTCCTGCACCAGCAGGAGGTTGGACCTGATGGCCTACTTGGCCCCTTCCCCCACTATGATTCTAAGATTTGTGAACATGCAATTTGTGTGTTAATCTGTCTCAAGAAAAGTGTCTGCTTGCTTTGTCAGCCGCTAGGAGCCCCATTCAGCATCTTCCTTGATACATCACACAACAACCACAGCTTTTGTGTCAAGGTAACCCCACATAGGGGGCTTGGCATTACTATAGACTTGAGGTTCCCATTCAAGGAGAACATAGGCCAGGCTGTCCCTCAAGGGTTCAAAGAATCTTACATACCACCCCCCACCCCAGATGCAGCCTCTTGCTCCAATCCTCAGAAGTCACTTTGTCCTCTGCTGCCTATGATATATCCAGAAGCACCTCTTCTGTCCTCTTCTGTCAAAGGGAAAGGAAGGCCATTGGGAGCACACAGGCTCCCCCATTCCTGTGCCCCCAGACTAGAAAGTCATGCAATCTGTGGCTTGTCATGATTCAATGCACCCAGACACAGCTTCCGAAGAAGCCTGTTTTCCCTGGGTTCTTCTCTCTGGGAAGAAATGGAGCTGGCTGTTCTCAAAGTTCCAGGGGCACCTCCGTCTAAATCTCCCAGTGACCACCAGAGCAGGTCAGTGCCTGTGGTGAATCTCCATGGAGGCAAGAAGGAGCTCTGCAGCATCTCCAATCAAATGGCCAGAGAGACCAAAGTTGGAGTAAGCTTGGCTGTGTGGAACTAAAACAGTTGACAGCTCCACCCTTGGACATTTGCAAAATACCATGACAGGCCATGCCTCTCCATGACCTTTCACCTCATCCATCCTCATCTCGCTGCGTCATTCCAAGTGAACTTTCCATGTTTCCTCCTTTTGCAGCTAAATGTTCAACTCACTGCATGGAGTAGCTGTTGGCTGATCTGGGTACACTTTAGAGGGTGCTGAGTGCTGAGCTACCAGGCAGTGTGGATTAGACAGGGAGTGCCACTGCAGGGCTTTCAGCATGCCATCTCCTGTGCATTGAGAAGCCAGAACAACAATCCTTAAACCAGGGCAGCAATCCCCAAACCAGAGCAGATGATCCCCTGCCTCTGCTGCAGTGAGGTGATTCCCTTGGTATGATGATTCTGTATAAATGTGCACAAGCTCAAGTTCCACGATTTGTGAGGTACTTCTTTCCCAAGGTAGGGGAACAATGAATGACAGCGGAGGTCTTATATGTATTGCCTCACAGATTAATAGATCATTACTGATCCACATGCAATAATAGGACAGAAATTATCTTCCCCACCTTGTTAAAATGCCTGGGCCACACAATGGCACCTGGGTTGATGCTGAGTTTTCCCCCTGGGAATCCCCCTCTCATCCAACTTCCAATGGTCACTATTCCAGGCGTACGATTGGGAAAAAGCACCCAATTCACAATATCAAAGTAGGCTTCCAGCTGTCCATGCTTGCCCAAATACTGCCCATCAATGGAAGTGTTAGAATGCCAGATTCCTCTTAAGAAATTGTGGAACTAGAATGGTAGAGAATACGTATTAATTTCATTAATCAATCAATCAATCCATCAATCAATCAATTCATCCATCTATCCATTTACTAGAACTGCATGCCACGTCATAGTGCTAGGGCTCTTCAGGTTGAAAGGATGTTCAATATTTTATCCATCTTTGCTCCAACTTCTAATCTGCCATGTACAGTAGGATATGTGCATTTTCTCTGCACTCAGATTTCCCAGGTAAGACATCTTCTTAGATCTTCTTTTTTCTCCCTTAGTATTTTCCTGATAAGCAGGATCAATGATATCATGCAGAGACCTTCCCCTTTCACAGAAACCCTGCATTGCAACCAAGTCCCTCCAGGTATCTCCCAGATTCCTGTTCCCAACCAACCTGGTTGTGGCTGAAGAAAGGAAAACTTACAGCTATCTAGAGGCCCTACTTTGGGGGTTATTGCCCTTAGGCAGGTCATGCTACCAGAGCCACCAGTGGTGTATGAGAGGGGTTTCCCTGAGAATGAGATTCACCACTGAAGACCAGCCAATATACAACCCTTATTATTCTGGTGGTCTTCATGTCTCCTTCTCACCCCTCTACTGTTGGACTCTTCAGACACTTCATGAGAAGGCAGAACTCCCTGGAAAAGACAATCCAGATGAAAGGGAGAGTTGAAAACAGAAGATGAAAGGGAAGTCCAAATATGAGATGGACTGAATATGTTAAGGAAGCCACAGCCTTTAATGTGGAACAACTAAATGGAGCAGTCCTGGACAGCACATTGTGGAGGGCTTTTGGTCACAGGGTGACATGAGGCAGAGATGACTTGATGGCACATCACATAGACAAAAGCAGAAATAACATAAATGGTGAAGATGTAACATCATCAACTGCCCAATAGCCAGTGCTATCTTGGCATAATGAGGCATTTTGTGGGGTGGGGAGTGGGCCCTAAATTCACAGGCCTACACAGAACTCCTGTGAAGATTGGCCTCTTCTCCAGTTGGACGTCTCTGAAGTGGCAGTCAACCAACTTCTCAGCAGGGAGAGTCCAAATTCCTCTTCCTCAGGCGCCAAGAAGCAACCATGGGAAAACTGTGTCAGCATGGCAGAAAGATGCTTGGAACTCCTCCAGTAGTGTCACAAGCTGGACTTGTCTCAAACAACTGGGTAAACATCTTCCCTGAGTCTTTGATCCAGCAGGCAGTTTCATGATACTTTGGTTGTGTAAGCATTCACAATTCCTGCTTATTTTCTCTACAATTCAGAACCTACTTTACACCAAGAATACTTGATCAGAGCAATGATCAGTCAAGGTCAAAGCAATGCACAAATGTACACAGTACTAGAAAGAAATGAGAAAGAAAAGACTCATGAACATGGTGGCAGGATTTCTCCAATAGTTCATGCCAGCCTGGAAAGATGTAACCATATCAATCATGGAGTGGGAATAGTGGCAGTAAAGTGTCTTCTTCTGGTGTTTGCCAAGGGGATTTTCCACGTGTGTGGATGTCTCTTCAGACTTCAATGCCTGGAAGGAGGGTCAAGGCTTACGCAGAATTCAAATATCCTCTACTGACCCTCTTCTACTGCATTACTGAGTCCATGCACTGGTCACAGACTGCCATCACCACAAATCAAAAAGAGTTTTCAGGGACCTAGAGACGCATCTCATCAGCATGTTGCCAGTCCTTTGATCCAGGGCCCATCCTGACACTGGCAACATGTAAGCTACTGATTCAAAAGACAATTGTGAACAACATGCTTTATGGGACTGAATGGGAGAGGGTTAATCTGCTGCACCCTGATCTCTCTACACTCTTTCTAAAAACATGTCTAGAGGTTGAAGCAGAAGCACTGAAATGCAGTACCCACAGCATCCCAAAACTGAAGCTGGCCCAGCAATCCCAAAACTGAAGCTGTTATACACCAGGGAGGAGTATAACAAAGTGGAAAGACAGAGCAGGAAGAAAAAACTGAGTCAAGCCCACCCACATTCGCTCGAAGGGTCATCCATCAGGGGACCATGGGCATCCTTCACATTGCCTGAAAATGGCCTGACAACACCTTCTCAAGAACCTGGGCAAAAAGGTTTTTTTGTTTTTGTTTTTTTAAACCAAACATTTATATCCCATCCTTTCCAATGAACAGCTCAGGACAGCTCACGATGATTTAAAATATTACAATAATGCAATAATTAAAAACAGTAGATATTAGATCAGTATAAAACAACACTTCATAAAACTAGAGAAATTAAAGAAGGGAGGAAAAAGAACAGACAATGTGACTGTGGAAAAACAATATGAAAACATCTAAAAACCTTAATTATTAAAATGATGGCTGAATAAAAATGTCTTTACCTGGTGCTGGAAGGAGCATAAAGCCAGCACCAGGTGGACCTTTTGGGGGGAGTGCATTCTATAGTCTGGGCAAAAATGCAGAGAAGGCCCTTCTTCAGGTAGACACCTTCCATACCTCCTTCAAGGAGGGTTTCCCAAGCAAGGCATCTCCTGCAGATCTTAAGGTTATGAGTTATGAGCAATGAGGTAGCATTTACTGAAATTTATGCAGTCTAGAAAAGTTTTTTTTAAAAAATGGTAGTACCCTTGTGTAGTACCAATGCTTTATGTAAGAGCATGTTTGTCACACCCATGCCCTTTTGGTAATTGGCACTATGGGAACTCATCAGGAGGACACTGGTCAGAATATCACTGCAAGACTTTTGTGAGCTCATTAAGTGGAAACCATTGGAATGGATGCTGGCAGCAGACTTCTGGATTGCCTCTGACGACATCAACAAAGAAAGCAAAAGGATGTGGCAAGAAATGTCAGAAAACAAGACACAGAATTCTGAGGTGTTCAGAGGAAAATGCAAATGCTGCCAGAATATTACTGAATACAAGCCCAGGTAGCACTTTGTGGGTTTAGCAAAGGCAGAGGAGTAGGATCAATAACCACTTCTGAATTGACATTCCAGAGGCAAGCAGATGCCCTGTCATGCATGCTAGCTCAACGCAACCCCAAATCTTTTGCCAGTTGCTGTGATACCACAGGAGGAAAGGGAATACCTGCCAGGGCTGCAGCTTCTGCCTGTGCAGGCTTTCTCCTCTTCCAGCCATCAATATCTGCTTGGATTGGGATGAAGATGCAGCATTTAAGGCACTGGCTACCATTTGGACAACATTGTAATTAGTGAAGCTGTCTTGAGAAAAGACTCTTTCCAGCTCCTCCTGGGGCAGCATCTCCAGGTTCTCCTTCTGTCTGTAGCTTGACCAACTTTTCAAGGAAAAAGCATGCTCTGAGTAGAAACAATGGAAAGCATTCTGCCAAAACTTGTGTGTAGCATGGGAAACGGGAATGTGATGGTCAAGTCTTCTCTTTTGGGAAGTCCTCATGATGAAGGACAAAGACCCATGGAGAGCCTGAAAGGAATCAGGACTGGACATTAAGTACGCATTAAAGTCTTGCACACTGGTGGTGATCCAGAACTTGCCTCCAATTTGTTCACTTCCAAGTATCCTATGCATCTCGAATATTGGAGCACAGCCGTAGAAAGAGCCTGCATAGAGAACAGCTACATTCACTTGTCCCCACGTAGCATACACATGATGGGACATTCCAAGTATGTTATTTTGTGGTAGCCTTTTTGTGAAGGCAATGCAGAGTCCATGTCTGATCATCAATGGGATAACTGACCTCACAAATTTTTCGCCACTTTCAGTGTCTGGGGCAAAGATTCCGATCCATGTCCAACCAAAACTCAAAGCTAGCTGGACAATGCCCAAGCATACGATCTCTTCCTTTGGGGCCAATCGGTAGATGAATGGGAACTGAGTGTGATCCTCCAGAGCACGGTTAACCAAGCCGTAACTGATCTAAAGAAGAAAGGAAAAGCCCACTAGTTTTCATTCTTTTGTCTTTAGGATGAACATCAGAATCCTCAGAACATGAAATCTCTAAGCAAAGGCCCATCACAAGGAAGAGAAAGTGGAAGTTGAAGAAGAAGGGAGGGACAAAACATTCCAAGGATCATCTCCACACTTGCAATGCTATATTTCTTTGGGGAGAGTGTGTTTAAAGGTTTAATAGGATCTAGGATGGATTTTATTTACCAGAAATTTCGGATGCTGCGCTCGATTTTATTTTGTGATGCTTTAATCATAAAACCATCGCAAGACACTTGTAGTGGGTGGTATATAAAACTGTAAATCAATCAATCAATCAATCAATCAATCAATCAATATTTTCAAATGTTTTTGCCAAAGTTTAGCTTTGCAGTTTTTCCATACTCAGGTTTTTCCCTTTGGACATTGTCACCAAGTTATTTTTTACATTGTCATCCTGTATGAGGACTTAAGTATTTTGACTTTACGCTGCAGCTTTTAATTCTGCATGATGCCACTTGTGCCCTTGCTACGTGCTTTTCACACCTCTGCTAATTTGTATGGAACAAGTTGAAATGGTGGTATCCTTTCAAAAAATGTTTTGCTGGATTCCTGAATTCCAATGGCACCTTTGTCTGCTTGCAACTGCTTTCCATTTCAAAGCACCAATTCCCACCTGAAGCACCCTCAGCAGACATATTTCTTCAGTGGGCAATGGTGCTTTTGGAAAGGGTGAGCTGAGCCAGTGCTAGCTGGATTTGGGTGGAGCTGGCCTCCCTTCCCCTCCACAGTCCTACCTGAGGAATCTTGTAGATGCCCGACATGGCTGGAATAAGAGTGGAGATGTCTGATTCGGTTCCTTCAAGAATGGCCAGCAGGTGGTTCTTCTTCCCACAGCGGAAGTTGGGAAGGTGGCTTTCCCCAACAGCAAGTATGCCCAGCATGGCATAGGATGCTGTCCTGGCATCAAAATGGCTCTCATAGATGTCATAGCCCAAACTGATGTTGGGTAAGAGCCTGGGATTCTCGTTGATCTCATGAATGGAAAGCAGGAAGGACAACACGTGCCAGTACTTCAGAAGTAGGAAACTGCAATGTAAGAATTATAGGATCTGGGCTTATTTTATGAAGAAGATTCAGAGGAGTTTCGGAATGCATAAACAGATGGATTCCTTCAGATGGCACACAGATGAATGATGGTATTCACTTGCAACTGCTGCAGTCATGGCTTGGGATGCAAAGGAAATCTGTGTTGTGCAGAAAATCCATTGCATTCCCTGGTTTGGCTTCCCAGGTTCAATATCTATTCACATCAACCCAGAGCTGAGGTTGCTGCTGAGCACATGCATCATTTGCAGGATGTTCCATAGGAATAGAGTTCCACTAGCTGCATAATCAGAGCACTTCTTCCATGCCCACCACTGACAGTGGAGGCAGCCAATGGGGATGTGTAGTCAACCAATCTCATCTGGACTCAACTTACTTTGCAGAGCTGGGCCGAGCACGAGCGGAAGGGCACAGATTCTGCAGGGGGAATTCCAAAAATTTTCATATGAACTGCTGTCTGGGCCAGTAACTTTGATGACTTTAACAGGAGAAACCCCTGGAGGAGACAGCGATTTCTGATGGCTCTTTTTATCAAAGGTCAGGGATGGAATGAAACTGCACAGAATCCATCTGCCTCGCATTTGCAGGCTTCCTCTTTTGCTCAGACTTGTCTTCCAATGTATGCTGATCTGAGAAGTCTGTGAAATCTTGCAGACCACCACTTATGCAACCTTCCTCAGCAGTTATGACAGGGCAAATGGGAGCCATTCCTGGCCTGTGAGGGGGATGCAGTCAGCAGTCACAGGAGCCACATTCCAGTAATTTCCCCACCTGCCTTGTTTGACAGCAGTTGCAGCCACTCAAAGGGCAACTGCTCTTGCTCTGAGAGGGGGCAATACTTGCTCAAGGTGTGTGGCCCGCTTCTTGGAGAGCTCCTCACAAGTGCTGGGCAGTCACCAGCAACTTGGAATCGGCTGCAGCAAGGTGAGCCAACCTCCAGGGAGCCAAGCCCAAGGAATGTGATGGATTTTCACCCACAGAGGGATTGCTCACACATCCCTATCAAAGGCAGGATCATACAGACACCGCATGCTGCAATTGCAACTGGAGAGATTTTATTGCTCTCCATCCTGGTTTGTCATTCCCACTGACATCCTTTTGGCTACTGTGTACATCAAATGATGGTCTAGATGGATCATTGGTCAGGTGCATCATGGCCATCCTTATATTCATGTCTTCTTGGGATGCTGAAGGCTAGATGAGAAGTCCCAACTGGTGATGTGCCACAATCCCTTAAGGAGTCATAGAAACTACTTTGCACCTTGAATTCTCACAAGCCCATTCATTCATTTTCTCTCCATCAGAAGTATTTGATTTTCCCATTCACATGAAAGGGCCAGAGATGGAACATTTGTCTGGCTGATATTTTCCATCTGGGTATGTCAGGGAAGGACTTGGGAAGTGAGACCTCCTCTCCTCCCCAAGATGCCAAGTGGAAATACTTGAAGGAAACATCCCTATCCTCCTGCCAAGGATGCTTGGCTGGCCTTCATCCTCCCTGACTCCTTAACAGATGGTCCACAATGGTTTTCATTCTACTTCATTGAGAAGAGCTGAAACACAGAGACTTCCAACTCATTTGTTGCAGCACTATTGGCAGTGCTGCAGGGGTAGTAGGGGAGCCATGCGATGGGAGCACTGATTTGGGCAACTCCAAGGAAAAGTCCACTTGGCTTCATCCTGGATTCTGTCATGTAAGATGAGCCAATCAGATGTTTCTCCCTATCACTGAAACCGTGCAAGCAGTGGCCAGACACATGCAAGACTGCTGGTCAGCATTCATCCTATTTTCCTTTAGAAAGTGCAAGAGGAGCAACATACAGAGCAGAAATTCTGAGGGGGTGACCTTGGGAATCAGAACTATGGGCTGCCTAATGGAGATGGGCAGAACTGGAGTGCCAGTTGGCGAGCATGTGAGCATCGTGACTTACCTCTCCCTCCTCTTGGCTGGTGATTCATAAAAAGCATAGAGTGGCTGATCCTGAAAAAGCTGTGAACAAACAACACCACTGATCATGTAGTCTCCTCGCTGGTAATAGTTATATGCTCCTTCTTCAATCATATTCTGAGGACAATTTGTCTTCTGCATCTCAGAAACTGCAGGCGGCAGCAGAAGAAGCAGAAGCAGCAGGAGCATGCCCCATGTGCCTGCTCTTCTCACCTGCAGGCCCAGCTCAACCAGAAATCTCAGACCCTGCAATCCCACAGATGCACTCACATCTGAGCCAAAGGGGATGCATCTCTCTGCCTACCCTGAGTCTCACTCCAGGCCTTCAAGAGTACTGCTGGTACGGACTCTGAGACACAAGGCATCGTGTCTCCTGGCATTGCCATTATTTGTCTCTAAAGCAATCTCAAGAAGGCCCCAGGAGTGTTGGGCGGAATCAACAAAATCACTCAGTTTTTGATCATCCAACAGTAGAGAGAACCCTTCGGCTGCAGCACCCATTGCGTGTCTCAGGGCACAGGGGCACAGGGGCACAGAGGGAGAAAAACACCTCTTTGAAGAGTCTGCAGCTGTTGTAAGCAGAGGATGTGGGAAATGGGAGCTTGGCCAGACCTCTGTCAGAGACCACCTGCAAAGGAACCCAGATAAGGAAGATTGTTTGATATCCCACCTGTGGGCAACATCTGGCCCTCTGCAGATTTCCTCTTTGTTTCAATTGATAGCCATGTTGATTTCCCAAGTTTGCAAACATGTTCCTTCCCCTCCTTCTCACCCAGCATATAGTGTGGGTTGTTGTGGGAATGTGGGAATGACTAGGGCTGGGTTGAAGCATAGGGGAATCCACCCCACTATCCTGAATGGGCTCTTGCTATGGCTAGGCCCAGTCTTGGAAAATGAGCCAAGCTGAGAGGAAGTTTGCAAACACTCAGAGCAGAAAGCTTGTATCACAGGGAGGAGGACAAAAGAGGGTTCTACTTCTCAGGAAGTAGTACTGTGGGACCCCATTCCTGGGGATCAGTCCTCTAATGCTGGGCAGGCATTTGGAGTCAGGACACTCCAAAGTGACCTGGAGATCAGGGAGCAAAGCCAGAGTATCTGGCAGATACCTACCCCAACAGCATTGAAGTGAGTTCCCACACAACGTAACACACATTGTCACACAGGACCCAAGCTACTTCTTTGGCATGAGCACTAGTGAGTTCATCTGATCTGCCAATAGCTTTCTTTGGTAACTGAGGCATTTCGTAGGACTGAGTCATTGCATCAGGCAGCCACCACACTCAATTCCAGCACAGCCAAGAAGGTGGCACACTCCACTCACGCAAAGGAGTAGAGGCAGCTGTATCGGGTCAACAGCACCTCATACTTTCTTTAAAGACTGCATCTTTTTTCACTTATCTTTTATTAGAGCTTGACAGATTTTGTGGTGGTACAGGATGTTTTCTAGAAAGAAATAACTGCCAGATTGCTGTTGGGGGCTGGTTGCTATTCTCATATAACACCAGTCCTCTATCAGCTTCACTGGCTTCTTATTGAAGTCCGGGTTCAATTTAAGGTGCTGACATTGACGTATAAAGCCCTTAACGACTTGGGACTAGGATACCTGAAGCAACATCTTTTTCCCGATATGCCCTCCCACCACCTAAGATCTGCAGCAGAGGCCCTGCTCCAGGAACCCTCTTGGAAGGAGGTTAGGAGAAAGAACACTCGGAGGAAGGCCGTTTCTGCAAGGGCACCCCAGCTGTGGAATGTGTTCCCCAGAGAGGTTCGCCTGGCACTGACATTATATGCTTCTCTGTGCCAGGTCAAGACCTTTTTATTTACCTGATATTTTAAAGTTTAACTATTTTAATTATATTTTTATTCTCAGTTGTGTGTTATTATCATGTATTTATTAGGTGTTTTAGATTGTAAGCAGTCCAGAGGCGAACCATAAATGGATGGGTTAGAAGTACCCTAATAAAAAATTAAACAAATAAATAGGAATGTTCACAGCAAGCATCCATCAAGGAATGATCTTCTTGGTTTGTGGCAGTAGTTTTTGCAATGGGAAGGGCTGCTTCCAAATCGAAAAGACCCCAAATGTCTGGGCTCCACCTTCTGGGATGTTCATGCCCAGTGAGCAGTTGCAAAGTATGCCTAAAAGGGCTCGGGTTCCCCTTAACCACCATTTGAGCATCTTCAGTGGATTCCAAAGGAGGTTGTCTGTTGTACAAATGGGGGCAGGGGGTCTTTGAGCACAAGAGGAAACAAATAAATATTCCAGTAAAGTTTATACGAGTCCTACTGCTGAGGAGCAATTAAGGGTAGGAGGAGGAAAAATACATAAGATGCCTTGAAATCACTGAGGGGAAAAAAAAAAGATTTACATAAATACTTCTCAGATGAACATGCTGAAAGCTATTCTTTGTTTTCAACAGAAGATGTGATTCCCATCCAAATGGTGCTGGAGTGGTATGATTCAGCACCTTGCACACCAATCAGATGCCATCTCTAATTTTGATTGTGAGATGCTGCTTTGTATCTAGATCAGGCCTCAGGACATGATGTAGCACTTGAGAAGGGAGATGCAGCCAAGTAACCCGGCAGTGGAGGCCAGGATGGAGAAGACCTGCACAGCCACCGTGTACTTCTCCTTGGTGCTCAGGTAGGTTGGCACAAAGGACACCCAGACACTGCAGAAGACCAGCATGCTGAACGTGATCAGCTTGGCTTCACTGAAGGCCCCTGGCAGGTTCCTGGCCAGGAAAGCCACCGTGAAACAGAGGTCCCTGCAAAGTCATCCAATGTCTACCTTTGCACTCCAAGAAATTGCTTTTGAACATGAGGAAGGTTCACCAGGAATTGGAACACTGGGCCTCTGGAAAGTAGACCAGAATCCAGAGTGCTGAGTCCAAGGAATCCAGCAGATGGCCAATGCAGGAGAGATTCCTTGCATACCCCCAGTTCCTTGCACACGTCCTACCTGCACAAGGGACTGCTGTGGAGAGTAACCTGCACAGGAAGAGAGATAGATCAGTAGTAACCCGGGACTGCCTCCCTTCTCCCATGAGCTTCTTCTCTCCATTGGGCTCTAAGCAGAAGACTTTGGGAAGAGAAAAAGATAGGGAAACCGTAAGAACATTAGCTGCCTTTACAAAATCCCATGGAGTGCTTGGACCTACCTTCTTTTTCCTTCTGAATAGTGTCACCTTCTGCATTTTCTGTTTGTTGTGAGTCCATGTGAAGGTAAGGCTGGGGCACCTTCTTTCTGGCAGCCTTCCCTACCCACAAAGAATGTCCCAGAACCTCTCAGGGTACCCAGAAGAGCAGCACCACCTTTTGAGCTGAATGCTTCCTTGAGATGACCTGAGCATCACAGGCCTGGCCTAAATCCAGCAGCACTTGCATTGCACCAAGCATTGCTTAGGATACTTTAAATGAAACCACCATTCTCGATGTAATTATCCTGGGATTTTTATAACCTTGAATGTGGCACCACCTGGCAGTAAATGGAGGAGCATTAAGGAAAAGGTGTTTGGTGTCCCCATGGAAAGCAACTGTTGAGATGCAGATACCCATAGGCACACATCAGTGGCTTTTTCATGGACCAGGAGGAACTGCCAGTGGAGCGGTGCCAGACTGTGGACCGGCACTTGGAACAAACTGGGCTGAGGGACCAGGTTTCTCCACTATGAAGGTAGACATGGGCCAGCAAGATCACACACCAACCTTTCCAGGAGGAGACTAGTGAGGAGGACTTACCTCCATTTCTTTCAGGGGCAGAACATGTGAACAGGAAGCCCTTGTTCATCCCTACCTAAGCTCTGCTGGGGAGCTATGTGAAGAGAGGCAAGAGGGAGCCAGGGAGCAGCTTCCATGCTGTAAGATAGAAAGGGCTTAAGGAATACAGAAAAGAGGCATACACAGTATGGACACACAACATCTCACCATTCAAGCTTTATGCACAAGCTCCAAACTCAAGCTTGGCTTGTTTGGGAAGACTCAGGTTCTAGTCCTCACTCAGATACCAACCTCATAAGGTGATCATTTGCCAGTCACAGATGTCACAAGGTTGCTGTTTTGAGGATGAAATGTAGAGGAGGATGACATTGTGAGCTGCTTTGGCTGACATGCAAGAAGCCAAAGAACGGGAAATGACCGTAGGAATAAAAGGAACTTGCTGACAAAAAAGAAGTGGCAATGCTGGGAGGATTATTCTGTATGTTCTTTATTCTAGTTAGCCAAAAGCCAGGACTCTCGATAGTTCAGTACAGTTACAAGCATGAAAACATAGCATGATAAAAAATGTAAAACTTTCAAAACCTTAGTAATCCAATTAAAAGCCACAGTAAAAACCTGCAGTTATAAAGTTCTAAATCTACTATTATGTGTTTAAATCAGCAAATGCTGAAGAACATTGATGCTGGAAAGAAGTCTTCACATGGTCATAAAGCAGGTAGTCAGGTGAGCCTCTCTAGGGGGTGCATTCAACCCCCTGAGGCCACTACTGAAAAAACCATCCTGTTAGCAAATATCCAGAGTCCCAGTCGCAGGCTAAACACACAAATCAGAGGCTATCTTATCTTTTGATGATGAGATGCTCCTTCATATTTAGCTCAGGCCTCAGGACAATGATGTAGCACTTGGGAAGAAAGATGCAGCACAGCAGCCCAGCACTGGAGGCCAAGATGGAGAAGGCCTGCACGGCCATCATGTACTTCCCCTTGGTGCTGAGGTAGGAGGGCACAAAGGACACCCAGACACTGCAGAAGACCAGCATGCTGAATGTGATCAGCTTGGCTTCATTGAAGGCCCCTGGCAGCTTCCTGGCCAGGAAAGCAACAGTGAAGCAGGTGGCAGCAAGGACGCCCATGTACCCGAGGGCAGTATAGAACATCATGAGAGACCCCTCATTGCACTGTAGGATGATGTGTCCAGGTTGGGAATGCATGTCAGAGTCAGGGAAGGGTGGAGAGGAGCCCAACCAGATGGAGCAGATGATGACCTGGACACTGGAACATGACATGACAATGGACTTTGCAAGGCTCTTCCCCAACCACTTTCTCACCTTATTGCCTGGCTTGGTGGCCAGGAAGGCCAGCACCACAGTGATGGTTTTGGCCAACACACTCGAGGTGGCAACTGAGAAGATGATGCTGAAGACTGTTTGTCGAAACAGGCAAGTCACTTTGCTTGGCTGGCCGATGAATAGGAAGGAAGACAAGAAGGAAAGCAAGAGGGAGATGAGGAGAATGTAGGAGAGGTTCCTGTTGTTGGCTTTGACGATTGGAGTTTCTCGGAATTTAATGAAGATTCCAAGCGTAATGCCTGAGCTTAGAAACCAAATCAGGACAAAGGAAGCCAGGAGAATCCCTAAAGGTTCCTCATAGGAGAGGAAGGTTATTCTCTTGGGGACACAGCAATCTCGGTCCTTGTTCGGGTGCTGATCTTCAGGGCACCCGCTGCACTGCTCTGCATCTGGAAAAAAGGGAAGCCGCTTCACCAATGAGACCTTCAATTGTACATCCAGAACAGAATTTACTGCAGTTGGTAAAAAAGGGGATGTAGGAGACATTGGGAGGTGATTGTGTGTGGTGTGGCAGGGACAGAGGTCGATGTCCCTAGGGAAGGAACACACTGTTTGCTTCCCAGGTCCTGTCAGTGGCATCATCATCACCCAAGGCCCTGCAATTGCAGGACACTCCAGCCCATCTCTGGAGGACATGATGGAGCTCCTAACAGTTGGAATTAAACAGTCAATATGAGCTCAATGAAAGGATTATGCATGTGGGCCATTCTGGCAAAGTGGGTGGGATACGGATCTTACAGATTACACAGACAGACAGTTGGTGCTGAACTGTGCTAAGCCGAACATGGTTGTGGGAGTACTTCTGGAGGGTTTTTTCCCCCTATTTGCATATCCACAAGTGGTCATGTGAACCAAGTTCAGGGGCTGGGAAATGGCCATCTTTCATTTTATTTTACTTCATTGTTATGCTGCCTAGAAGGCGAGCCTAGCAGGTAGTTTGCATCAGGTCCTGAAGAGGTTCTGGATCTGGCAAAACAACTTGGGGAGGTTGCTTGAACAGACAAATCACAGTGGCAGGATGGAATGGACATGGTTGGAGCCCCACTTGGACACTCTCCTGCCTTCAAAGGCTACCCTCAATAGCTTTGTCTAAAAATGAGCATCAGTTAATTCTTAAAACGAAAAGGACTTCTTCACAACTGAGAGGGTGCAAAGAGCAAGAGCTTCAACATGGGTAAAATGGGTGAGGAGATGCAGATGGCTTTCCTTGCCACTGGGATCACATCCCTCTTCGTAAGGCCTGAATTGTCCTGGGTAGAGGGTTCCATTGAGAGGGGTCATGACTGAAAGACCACCCTGCTTTCTCACTAAACTTCTCCTATTACACTTAGAATTTGGGCAGACTCAACCTTTTGCCCTACATTCAAAGGGAAAACCATTCCCTCTGTGGAGACCTACCTTCCTGAGTGGAGATGGTCCCTTCCGCACATGGGGCACAAGTGTAGCAGCAGGGCAGCTTCCCCTCCTGAGTCTGCTTGGCATAACCGGGGCGACAGCTCTCCACACACCTGGAACGAGGCACCACCTGACAAAAAGGTGGAGAAGAACTGTGAGGAGTCCTTTTCTCAGCAAATCACAGGGTCTGGACATTCCCAGTGGGATGTCTAGTCCCTGTGACAACCAGTCCCTTTTTGAAATAATTTTTGATTTTGTAGTACACAAAACCAGTTTCATGCACTCAGTTGTTTGAGCACTGCAATTCTTCCTTTTGATGCAGAGTGCATTGTACAGTCCTGAACCAAGACAGTACTGCAGTAAGACTGAAATGTATAGTATTGCAAGATCACTAAGAAATAGAATCAACAGCTCTCCTTGAAGAACAGAAGCAACTTGCAAGGAAGCTTCTCAGCAGCACGCATAAGTCGTACTGCTGCAGGGCCATAGCAATAGCCCTCCATCATCCTCAATACTTAGAGTTAGGGTGAGCTCCCTCAGAGTTGAGGGCCACTCCTGGGAAGGGCACTTCCTGCTTTCTGTCACTTTCTGTGTTCTGCCACCACCGCCATCGTCATCTACTAAGATTCAAATTGAAGCATTACCAGTTAAAAAGAATTATGCAGCTGTTCTGTCTTTTTCCCCTTAAAGGATATTATTCTTTGTGCCAGCCTTTCTGCTACTTGCAAAGGGATATCATATCCCCCCTCAGTCTTCTTTTCTCAAAGCTGCACATGCCCACTTCTCTCAGCCTTTCCTCACAGGGCAGTGTTTCCAAACTCTGGATCAGTTTTGTTGCCCTCCTCTGGACCCTTTCTAACTTACCTTCATCGTTCTTAAATCTTTGTGCCCAGAACTGGACACAATATTCCAGGTGAGTTCTGACTAGTGAGGAGTATAGAGGAAGTACTACTGCTCATGATTTGAAAGTAATATTTCAATTAATGCATGCCAAAATACCATTTGCCCCTTTGCCGGCTGGGTCACATTGTTGGCTCATATTTAGCAAGTTGTCCACAACTACTCCAAGGTCTTTTTCTTTTTCAGTTCTATTGAGCCACGTATTCTGCATCTTGTATTGATGCATTTGGTTTGTTCCAGAGTTTCCTCATTTTCCCTTTCTGCAGGTTCACTTCTGCCTCAGCTTGCTGATGCTCTTCTTGCTTCCAGTCTACACTGAGCTGTTACAGCTTCTCCGCACTGTCTAGAAACTTCGTTTTCTTTTATTATCATGAGGGTGGACACTCTTTGTTCCAGTGTTCTCAACATACAGTACATGAGACTCATATAGACATGAAGACCAGGCTGTCACTCAAGGGTATGGAAGAACTGACACTCCACCCCCCACCCCAGATGTGGACTCTTCCTCCAGTCCCCAGAAGTCACTTGGGCCTCTGCTGCCTGTGACGCACCCAGACGCACATTTTCTTCTTTCACAAGGAATGCGATGCCATTGGGAGCACGGAGACTCCCCCATTCTTCTGCCTCCAAATGAGTGAGCCATGCTATCGGCAACTTTTTAACAATCAGAACAATTCTGTGAACCTTATTCAGTGCACACAGACACTGCTTCAGAAGATGCCTGTCTTCCCTGGGTTCTGCTGTCTGAGCAGAAATGGAGATCCCTGTTCTCAGCATTCCCAGGACATCTTGCTCTAAATCTCCCACTGAGGACCACAGCAGATCAGCGCATATGGTGAGTGTCTGTGGGGGCAAGAAGGAGCTCTGCAGCATTCACAATAATATTGGCAGTTAGTCAGAAGTTGGGACAGCTTGGCATCATAGGACAGAAACAGTTGAGAATAGCTCTGTCTTGGATTTTTGGGAAATTCTCTTGGAGACCTCACCTATCACTGGCCTTTCACCTCATCCTTGCTAATCTCATGACTTCATTCTGACCAATTTTCCACGTTTCCTCCTTTTAAAGCAAAATGTTCAACCCTCTGCATGGAATAGCAACCCTCTTTGTTGCGATGGGGCAGGCATAAAAATGTTTTAAATAAATAAATAAATAAATAAAAACTGCTGGCTCTTCTGGGTCCACTTTGGGGTTCTGAAAGCTGAGCTACCTGGCAGTGTGGATTAGACCAGGAGTTCCACTGAAGGACTTTCATCAGGCCACGTCCTGTGCATTGAGAATTCAGAGCACCAAACCCTGAGCAGGAAGGCTTCAAGAAAGGAACCCTAACTGGCCTTTGCTGCAGTGAGCAGGTTCCCTTGGCAAGGCATTCCTGCATGCGTGCTGACAATTGATGTCTCATATGTACTCTTGCACAGATAGTTGGCATGATCTGAATGCCAATAATAGGACAAATTATTTCCCCCACCTTTTTAAAATGATGAGGCCACACAATGGCATCTGGGTTGATGCTGAGCTTTCGCCCTGGGAGTTCCCCTCTCATCCAACTCCCAATGGTCACCATTCCAGGAGTATCATTAGGAAACAGCACCCAATTCACAATATCAAAGTCAGCTTCCAGCTGCCCATGCTCATCCAAATGCAGCCCATTAATGGAAGTGTTACATTGCCAGATTCCGCTTAAGAAATAGTGGAACTAGAACGACAGAGAAGACAACATGTTGATTTTGTTCATTTGTTCATTCATTCATTCATTCTCTAGGCCACTCCATAGCCCTGGGAATCTGTGCGTTGAAAGGATGTTCAGCATTTTTGTCATCTTTGCTCTGAGTTGTATGTACAGAAGACAAGGTGCATCCCATCTGCACTCAGATTTCACAGCGGAGACAACTCTGATCTCCTTTCTTTTCTCCCTTAGCATTTTGCAGCTGAGCAAAATCAGCAATGTCACATAGAGAAGCTCCCTTTGCACAGTTGCCCAGAATTCCCAGCTGGTCCCTCCAGATGTCTCCCAGATTTCTGTTCCTGACCTGGCTGGTCCTGCTCCCAGAGCCATCTCTGGCACATGAGAGGGATTCCCTCAAGAGTGGGTTTTGCCATTGAAGGCCTACCAAATTTCCACTCATATTATTCTGGTGACCTTCATGGAAGTGTTGTCCACTTCTCTTTACTCCACTGTTTTTCTCTACAGAAGCTTCATGAGAAGGCAGGACTCCCTGGAGTAGACAATCATGTTAGCGGGAGTTAAATGCAGAAAATGAAAGGGAAGTCGAAATATAAGATGGATTGAATCTGAAAGAAAGCCTCAGCCTTGAATGTGGAGGAACTGAATGGAGCTGTCATGGATTGGGCATTTATGCTTTCTTTCACAGTGTGACATAGGTTGGAGATGACTTGATGGGACATAACATAGACAAAAGAAGACATAACATAGAAGGAAGGACATAACAACAACTGCCCAATAGCCAGTTGGGCATATTATCAAGGCATAATATGGTATTTGGTTGGAAGGGGAATCGGTCCCATCTTCACAGGTCTTTACTGAATTCTGTGAAGATGGGCCGCTCCTCCAGCTGCAAGCCTATGAAGTGGCAATCAGCACACTTCTCAGCAGGGAGAGTCCAAATTCCTCATTCTCAAGCACTGAGGAGCAACCACAGAAAAACCATGGCAGCATGGCAGAAAGATACTTGGAACTCCACCAATCGTTTCACAAGCTGCACTCATCTGAAGAAGCTGGGCAAATACCTTCCCTGAATCTTTGATCCAGCATGCAGCATCATGATTCTTCGGTTGTGTAATGGTTTGCAATTCCTGATTATTATCCCTAGAATGTAGAACTAAAATCACTTGATAAGTCCAATGAACAATCATGGTCAAAGCCATGCGCAAAGTACACCATACCACAATGAAACAGGAAAGCAAAAGGCTCATGAACATGATGACAAGATTTCTTCAATAGTTCATCTTTGCTTGGAAAGACATGTCCATCTCAATGGTGGGGTGGGATTAGGTCTTCTCCTGCTGGTTTCAAAGGCAGTTTTCAAAGCTTGTGGATTTCTCTTCAGAAAAGCTCAGTGACTGGATAGTATGATCAAGGAGAAAGCACGTCTTGAACTTTCCTGATCCAAAGTTTACAGAATAAGAAAAAAACCTTCATCCTCATGCAAATGCAGATTGACAGCCAGGGAAGAACTATTAGCTGGGATGTTCCAGGAAGAATTGCAGCGGCCCCTGACAAGCAGCATTCTGCCATGGCTGCAAGTTTCAAGCTCCTTTCAGGGCAATTGGTCAATTCAGCGTAATCCAGCACTGAATTGACCAATGCCAACCTGCAGCAGGGAGCCAAACTTCCATGAATACTCACAGATGGAATGCAAGACAGAGAGGTGCAAAGGCACTTGAGCTGCCAAAGTGACTCGATCCTCCAGTCAAGATTGGAGTTCAGAGACTTCAGGGAGAATGTAGCTCCTGCTACCATACTACTGCTACCAAGGTCATCAAGTCTCTCTCCCAAGCATGTGATCCACTAGCAAGAGGATACTGATCTTGTTCTAGTTATTTCATGGAGTCAAGTTATTTCTGAATTATGTCAACTGGAGAAATGGAGCCCCAACAAACTGTCCTGTCTTTCACCATCTCAGAGTCTTCCATGCCTTCCTGTCCCTCAGCTTTCCCTAGAATCATGGTCTTTTCCAGGGAGCCTTGCCTTCTCATTGTGTGTAGGAAGTAAGGTAGCCTCCCTTCCTCCATACTTGCTTTCAGGGAATGTCCTGGCATGAGTTGCTCCTGGACTCACCCATTAGTTATCCTTCTTGGTCAGAATAACCACAAAGCTCTCCTCCTGCACCATTTTTTTGAATACAGTATTCATTTTCCCAGGATTCAAATACAGTCTATGAGCCCTCATCCAGTGCCTTACTGAGTCCAGCCACTGGTCAGGGACTGTTATGGCCATGGACAAGCAGCGTTTACAAGGACATAGAGCCACAGAGCCACATGTCAAGAGCATGCTGAGGATCCTTTTCTCCATTACCCATCCCGACATTTGCAAACTGTCAATTACTCATTCAAAAGAAGGACTGCAAACCAGAACATTCTTTCCAGGACTGAACTGATGAGGGGTCACAGGGTAACACACTTATCTCTCTACGTATTTTCTAAAACCAGCCATGCAGGTCAGAGCACATCCACTGAAATGGATCCACAACATCCCAAAATGAAGCTAGCCCTGCTGGTTACCCGGGATGCATGTATACAAGCTGAATGATAGAGCAGGTGGAAAGAACTGGGTCGAGCCCACTCAATTTTCTCTATGACGATCATCCATCCTGGACCAATCAAGGGTTAGGATAGGGGGTCATCCAACTGGGGTGAAGAACTAGATCAGCACCCTCTAGAACATTGGCATCCTTGAGACTGCAGAAAATGACCCAACAAGACCTTCTCAGGAACCTGAGCCAAAAAGAAGATACCAGCAACTACATACCATTATTGAAATCCATTCAATCTAGAACACATTTCTTTAAAAAGTGAGTATATCAAAGTACAATGATAGAGTAAGTGGAAAGAACTGGGTCAAGACCACCCATTTATGTCTATGAAGGTTATCCAGCAGGGGACCAAGTCTGATTCATGATGGAGCTAGACAAGCAACCTCCAGAACATGGACATCCTTCACACTGCCTGCAAATGACCTGGCAACACCTTCTCAAGAACCTGAGCCGGAAAAGGAGATACCAGCAACTAGATACTCCTTACTGAAACCCATCCAGTCTAGAACAGGTTTCTTTAAAAAATGTAGTGCCCCTGGAGTAGGAGATCCCAGTGTTTTGTGGAAGGATGGGTTTGTCACACCGTGGAGCTGCATACTCATATCCTTTTGGTATTAGGCACTATAGGAAATCCTCTGGAAGACACAGTTCAGAGCCCTCACTGCAAGGACTTTGCCCACCTTATCTGAGGGAAATCCATGAAATGGATGGTGCAGGCAGATGTGATAGAATTCTGAATGGCCTTTCTCATACCACCAGCATCAAACAGAATACAAAGGAATCAAAAGGATGCTGGAAGTAATTTCAGGAAAGTGCAAATGTTTCCCAATACAAGCATATGTAACATCATGAGGGGGGAGCAAAGTTGAAAGAGTGGGCTCAATTTCCACCTCTGCACTGCCATGCAATAGGCAAGATGATGTTGTGTAAAAAGTGTTTGCTCAACTGAACCCAGAACCTTCTGCCATTACCTGTGAAACCAGAACAGGAAAGGGAATACCTGCCAGGATTGCAGCTCCTGCACTTGAAGTCTGTCTCCCCTTCCAGCCATCAATATCCACTTGGATAGGGACGACAATGCAGCACTTAAGGAATGGGCTACCATTTGGATACTCATGTAAGTATGGAAGCTGTCTTGCGAAAACACCCTTTCCAGCTCCTCCTGGGGGAGCATCTCCAGTATCTCCTTCTCTCTGTAGCTTGACCAACTTTTCATGGAATAAGCATGCTCTGAGTAAAAACAATGGAAAGCATTCTGCCAAAACCAATCAATAGAATGAGAAAATGGATTGTAATGGTTGAGTTTTTTCTTTTGGGGTCTCTTCATGATGAAGGAAAAGGAACCATGGAAAAGCTGAAAGGAATCAGGATCCAAACTTAAGTTCAGATTATTGTCTGGTACAGTGGTTGTGATCCAGACCTTTCCTCCAATTTGTTCCCTTACAAGTATCTCTTGCATCATAAATATTGGACCACATCCATATTGGGAGTCTGCATAGAAAACAGCTACATTTACTTGTCCCCATACAAGAAAGAGCTCATTTTGAGTCATTCTGAGCACATTTTTTCGTGATAGCCTCACTATGAAGGCAATACAGAGTCCATGACTGATCATCAATGGGATCACTGACCTCACAAAAATTTCTCCATTTTCAGTGTCTGGGGCAAAGAGACCAATCCACATCCAACCAAAACTTGCAACCAGTTGGACAATGCCCAAGTATTGGGTTTCTTCCTTTGGGGCCATCCGGTAGATGAATGGGAACTGAGTGTGATCCTCCAGAACAGGGTTAACCAAGCCATAACTGATCTAATGAAGAAAAGAGCCTGGTGGTTTGCACTGTGTCGTCTGTGGAGGAACATCAAAAGCATAAGCAAATGAAATCCCAAAACAAAGGCCCTTCACAAGGCAAGCTGAAGTGGAAGTAGAGGAAGAAAGAGGGGGAAAAGATATCAAGGATCATCTCTACAGTAGCAACTGATCATTTGCTTTGTGGAAATGGGTCTCTTTTAAGTGGGGAGAAAGGAACCCAGCCCACTACAGCCTGGCAAGTGTTTCGGCAAGACCAAAAATCAAGACTAGTTGAGCACCCCGAGATGGCCTTTTTCTTTTCCACCATGGAGTGACTACTCATTTTCTCCTTTTCCAAGGCATTAGGCTGATGGAGGTTATTCTTACTGGACAGCTATCCTGTTCCCCAGAAAGACCATCCCTTTGAGAGATACAGCTGTATTTGTGTCCCCTCTGAAAGACTGATCCCTCCAAGATCAGTCCAAGTGCTGTGGAACCAGTGTCCTGTACATGGGCGGAGCTGGCTTCTTTTCCCCTCCACAATCCCACCTGAGGAATCTTGTAGATGGACGACATGACTGAAATAAGAGTGGAAATATCCAATTCAGTTCCTTCAAGAATGGCCAGCAGGTTCTTCTTCTTCCCGCAGGCAAAATTTGGAAGGTGGCGTTCCCCACCAGCAGGCAGGCCTAGCATGGCATAGGAAGTCACTCTGGAATCAAAGCAGCTCTCATAGATGTCATAGCCCAGGCTGATGTTGGGTAAGAGCCTTGGATTCTTGTTGATCTCACGGATGGAAAACAGGAAGGACAACATGTGCCAGTACTCCAGAAACAGGAAACTGTAATGCAAGAATTACAGAATCTGGACTCATTCCAGGAAGATTCAGAGAAGATTCAGGATGTGTAAGGAGAAGGATTCCTTCACACATTCATTCATTCATTCATTCATTCATTCATTCATTCATTCATTCTTTCATTCATTCATTCATTCATTCAGTGTATGGCATGTATTGCCAGGGAGTCTACAATGTTTTAGTTGATGTTCTGGAGTATGAAGTTGCAAGTTGGTTATTCTGCTGGAGCACCACAGGTGGTGAACTGACTTAGCCATTGTTGTAGATCTTCTGGGGCTTTTCTCTGCCAATCCTGAGCACACCCAGGCAGATCCAGCACCAGTCCTTGTTTTCCTGATGAACTAAGTTAGCAGGTTGCTATTTTTTGACTTGCAGGTGCTATGCTTTTGAACTTCTAGGTGGGTAGCAGCTAGGGGCAAACAGCAGGCATTTACTCCATCCTGCAAGGCTGGGCTCGAACCGCTGGAATACCAATAAGATTCTTAATGGGTAAAGAGAACAATCAATCACACAGCACCCACTTAAATGCTGGCATTCACTTGCAGAAGGTGCAGCCACAGGTAGGGATGACCAGAAAAACTGTTGAATTCCCTGCTTTGGGCTTCGCAGATTCGATAACTGTTCACATCAGCCCAGAGTCTGTGTTCCTGATGAGCACACTCAGCATGAGCAGGAATTTAGTCCCACGTTTTGCATAATCAGTGCAATTTTTCCACGCTGACCACTGACAATGGCACCAGAGAGTTGGGAAGTGTAGTGGAAAGATTTTCCCTTGACTCAGCTTACTTTGCAGGGCCAAGCCAAGCATGAGAGGAATTCCAGAGATCCTAGAATGGTAGATTCCAAAGGGTTCATGCCAACCTTTGCCAGGGTCCTAATTTGACAACTTTAACAGGACACATTCCTGGAGGAGGCCGGTTGTAGTGGCTTTGCTATCCAAGGATGGTGTTCTGATGATGCTTCTCAGAGTTTATCCTCCAAGCATTTGCAGGATTCTTCTCATGCTCAGCCTGAATGTCCAAACTATGCTGACCTGAGAGGAAGTCCATGAATGGTTGCAGACCCCACTTATGCAAACTTCTGTGCCAGTTGTGACTGCTTAAAAAGGAGCTTCTCCTGGCAGGTGAGGGGCATCCTGCCAGGAGCACCAAGGGCCACATTCTAAGTGAACCCCCACCACCTGCCTTCTTGGCATCAGTTGCAGCCCTTCAAAGTGCAGCTGCACTTGCTGGGTGAGGGAGCACTGCTTGCTGAAGTTGAAGGGTTCAATTCCTGGAGAACTCCTCACAAAAGCTGGGCACATTCACCAGGAACGAAGTGAGCTGGAGTCCGGAGAGTGAAGCCCAAGAAACATGATGGATTTCCTCTCCCTGATGGATTGTTCACACATCCCCATCAGAGGCAGGATCATAGGAACATCCCTTCCTGGACATGCAAATGGAGAGGTTTTATGATCCTCCTTCCTGCCTTTGGGAGTCCCACTGGCCCCCAGTTCACTACTGTGTACATGTCTTCTTGGGATGCTGAAGGTTAGAGAACTCCCAGAAAACTCCTTTGCACCTAGAAAGCTCACCATTACACACAGCTGTCTCTAACTACTGCTCCACAAAAGTGTAGAGGAAAGAACCTGCCTTTCTCCCAAGAAGCAGAGAGACTTTGACATTCATTTCCTCCCCAGCAGAATTATTTGATGTCCTCAACAATAGCATGGGAGTGGCAGAGAGGGAACAGTCATCTGGGTGATCATGTCCAGCAAGATATGTCAGGGAAGCACTTGGGAAGCACGATCTCCTGTCCTCCCCTCCCCAAGATGCCAAGTGGAAGAACTTGAAGGAAACACCCCCGTCCTCATGCCGAGGATGCTTTACATTCACAGTCCCTGACCACTCCCCAGACGGTCTACAATGCATGTTGTGCTACCTTCTTAGGAAGAGCTGAAACTAAGAGTAACCCAAATTATTTTCTGCTGTCTAATGCAGCAATATAAGGGTGGCAAGGGGAGCCATGAGATGATTCGAGCAACCCCAAGGAAGGGCCCCCTTGACTCCAGTCTGGATGTTGCCATCTTGGTTAAAGCAAGCAGATGCTTCTGCCTAAGATAGAAAGCAGTGTACAGCCAGATGTGAACTGGCTGTTCTGCATGCTCCCATTCTTCCTTCAGAAAGCATAAGAGGGCAAAATACAGAGCAGAAATTCTGAGGGGGTAACCAGGGACCAGAATGATGGGCTGCCTCCAGGGGAGAGGAACAACCAGAGTGCAGGATGGGGAACACTAAAACCACATGACTCACCTCTCCTTCTGCTTGCCTGGTGACTCAGAAAAGACATGGGGTCGCTGGTACTCAAGATATTGTGAAGAGACAACTCCACTGATAAGGTAGTCTCCTGGATGATAATAATTAGATGCCCCTTTGACCAACATATTTCCATTACAAGTTGTCTTCTGCATCTCAGAAACTGCAGGAGGCAGCATTAGAAGCAGCAGGGGCACCAACACTGGGATACTGTGGCTTTGTTCCCACATGCCCCTTCTGCTTGTTCTTCTCACCTGCAGACCCAGCTCCACCAGAAAGCTCTAATCCGGCAGTCCAACAGATGTACTCACCTCTGAGCCAAAGGGGGTTTTTCTAAACTTCACCTGGGCACAGTCCTCGCATCTCGCAGGCTGCCCTGAGCCTCACCCCAGGCCCTGACATTTCCCTTGATTTTGCCATTTGGTTTCTCTGTCTCAAGATAAATTTAAAGAAGGTCTCCAGAGAATTGGCTGGAATCAACATTAATCACTCTGTTCCTGATCATCCAATGGGAGTGAGACAGCATCTCTGCTTCTGGACCAATTATGTGTCTCAAGGCACAGTCGCATGGAGGGAGAAAAATATGTTGTTGGTCCTCTTTGATGAGGCTGCATCTTTTGCATCAGAGGGTGTGGTAAAAGGGAGCTTGGAAAGATCTCTGTCAGAGATCCCTCTTCAAAGGAACCCAGGTCAGGAACACCTATTGATATCCCAGCTGTGGCCCTCTGCAGATTTCCTCTTTGTTTCAATTGATAGCCATGTAGGTTTCCCAACCTGGTCAACATGGCCCTTTCCATCATCTCCGGGCAGAATAATTCAAGTGGCATAGGGTTGGATGGAAATGTAGTGGAATCTCCCCCTTTAGCATCAGATGGCTTATGATCTGGCTTGGTCAGTCTTGGAAAAATGGGCCAAGCTCAGTTTCCCAACACTCATGGAAGAAAGCCTAACTGGACAGTGCACAGAAGGGTGAAACTTTTTTGACAGTGGTAGTATCGGGCTCCATTCCTATGAATCTGCCTGTAAGTGCTGGGCAGGAACTCAGTGTTGGGGCATTACAAAGTGGAGTGGAGGAGGAGGCAAGCCAGTGTATCCAGCATATTCCTATCCTAATTGATTTGTCACACATCCCTAGAAAAACCGAAGGTGCACCGCTACCAATCTACTTCCTTCCCCATCCCTGGACAGGATCACCAATGAACTCATCTGGTGTGCAAACAGTTTACACATCAGTTTACATATTTAGTAGGACTGAGTTGTTGCATCGGGCAACCACCCCACTCAGTTCCAGCACAGCAATGCACTTGCCAGACCCCCATCACCCAAAGTGGTATCAGTTGCTGTCCTTGATGGTCATTACATTTTTTTCATACTTGCTTCAAAGACAGCATCTTTTTTCATCCATATTTTATTAGAGCTTGATAGGTTTCATGGTGGTACAGGGTAGTTTTTAGAGAGGTTGATCACAGCTAGCATCCATCTCCCTGGTGTGTGGCAGCATTTTTTGCCCATGATAATAGATGATTCCTAGCTGAAAAGGCCCCAAAAGGTCTTTGCTCCAGCCTCAGGGAGGTTCACACCCTGTGAGCAGCTGCAACTGATGCCAAAAAGGACTTGCCAGCAAAGGTTTGCAGTCCCTTTAACTAGCATCTGCAGTGATTTCCAAAAACGGTTTCTACTAGCATTCAGATTTTTCATCTCCGCACAGTTTGCTTTGAACAGCCAGGTCAAGCACAAAACAAAGCCCATGAAGACTCTAGTAAGGTTTATAACAACCTGGCTGGTGAAGTTAAAATGGAGAGGAGGGGGAAGAAGGATATGTAAGCTGCCTTAAGATCCTTGAAAGGAAAAAATGTGGGATATAAATAAATAAACAAGTTCTCCCAGGGATACAGGACCCAGACCTGACAGCTTTTTCTTTCATTTCTAACATAAGATGTGATTCTTATCCAAGTGGAGCTGGAGATGGAATTCTTCAGCGTCTTGTACACCTATCAGATGCTTTCTTTAGTTTTGACTGTTAAATGCTGCTTTGTATTCAGATCCGACCTCAGGACAAATATGTAGTACTTGGGAAGGAAGACACAGTCAAGTAACCCTTCACTGGATGCCAGGATGGAGAAGACCTGCATAGCCACCAGGTGCTTAGGGTAACCATTAGAGGGGAATCATCAGAATGGCAGCCAGTGACAAGTGGGCTCCCCCAGGGCTCTGTCCTGGGACCAATCCTGTTTAATCTTTTCATCAATGACATGGAAGAAAGGCTGAACAGTCTGCTGATCAAATTCACAGATGATACTAAAACAGGGGCAGTGGCCACAAGTCAGAAAAGGCCTCCCAGGCTATCTAGTCTGTACATCCAAGGGGTACTGCAGAAACTCTCTGCCCGCCCAGAGGAGGCCCTCTTCTCGACTTTCAAATGATGGCCACCTGCAGCTCACCCTTCAATAGGTAAGGCTTCCTCTGATGATCCTGACAAGCACACAAAATTCTGTACGGGGGAAGGCAGCCCACTGTGTAACATTTCAGGCATTAGATGCCAAGTGGCCGAAGCAGTTGTTGGTCAAGTGCAAAAGTGCATGCTTGATTTGACAGCCCATAGGAAATCAAATGCTAGCGTCAGCACTGGTGTCATATATCCAGGGCTGGGAGTCCCACTCAACATCTTGGTGGCCCCATTCCACACCAGCTGCAGCCTCCAGGCCAAGGACATGGGTAGTCCCCCATGTCATGGATGACAGTCATCTAAGGTGAGGTTACTAAAGCCTGGACTATGGAGGCCACAATCTCTCTCTGCAAGGGTAGCCATGGCTGACATACCAGCCAGAGATGCCAACCCCTGCTCCAAACCACAGAAGTCACTGGAGCTTCTGCTACCTGTGATGCACCCAGAAGCACCTAGAAATGCAACCCCACCTGAAACATGCAAACTCCCCATTTCCTGTGCCTCCCTACTGCAGATCTACCTAGTCTTCAGTGTGTCAAGATTCAACAAAATGCCTTGGTCTTATGCAGTGCACCCAGAGACAAACTCAGCACATACTCTGATACAGGTACGCGCAGCTGTGAGATAGTGCTGGAGGCAAGAAGTTACTCTGTGGCCCCCCACAAGCAATTTATTGAAGGGCCTGATTTTGGGGAAAACTGAACAATATGTCACAACAGCAGTTAAGAACATTTCCGTTCCCGGCCATGTGGACGTTGTCTGGTGGGCAATGTGCTTCCTTTTCCTCTCCTTCATGCTTGCTGGTTACTTCTTTCTGAGCCCACCTTTCATTCTTCCTCTCTGTACAGCTTAATGCTCAATCTGTGCTTTTATTAGCTGTTGGTTCTTCCAGTTCTACTTGGCTGGGGGACTGGAGAACGATTTCCTCAAAAGTGTGGGTTAGACTGAATTTAGCAGCCTCATGTGCTTTGGGAAACCTGAAGAAACCTCTGAACAGGAAGACTGGGGAGACCAAAACACTCCCCAGCCCATGCTTCTGAGAGAAGCTTCCATTGGCAAGGACCATCTTGCCTGTTGTTAAGTAAATAGTAAGAGGAAGGGGGGCTCTTAAAGCTAGTGAGGGGATCTGGTAGCTGATGCAATGGAAAAGGCACAGATCTTACATGATTAATTTGCTACTGTATTCTCCCCAAAACAAGTTGCACATCTACCTGGGGGACCAGAAGTAGTTGGAATCACTCTCCCTGAAGCTGAGGAGCTCCTCAGGGCCCTGGATGTTACAAAAGCGCCTGGTCCTGATGAGTTACCCCCAACATACTTTAAGTATTGGCAGAGGAGCTCTTGCACCCATTGGCTTTCATTTTTGAGACCTCATGGAAACCCAGAAAAGTACTGGAGGTTTGGAGGGTAGTGTCAGTGTTCCCAATTTTCAAAAATTACATGCATTCTGGGGAAAACATGGCAGCCCAGGGAATCCATCAGTTTCCTCCACTACCAAAGGGCCTGGATTATTTATTTATTTATTTTCTGAGATATCCTGCCTTTTTCCTACAAAGGGCTCAAGGCAGCTTACATCTCCTCCTCCATCTTATCCCCACAACAACAACCCTGTGAGGTAGATTGGACTGAGAGCTTGTGACTGGCCCAAAGTCACCCAGTTGGCTCCATGGCTGAGTGGGGACTAGAACCCAGATCATCTGAGTCCCAGTCTGATGCTCTTAATCACTACACCACACTGGATTAAGGCACACTCTGTGCCCTGCAGGATCCTACTGCCTTCACTGGTGCTACTGGGAGGACTGGGAAGGACAGTAGGAATGAGGAGGACCATTCTCTGCCTCATGGGCTGAAGACCCTCCATCCAACCTAGGTGTCACAGTCTGGGGTGTGGGCAGCTGGGCATCAGATCAGGGCACCAGGACCCAAACAACTGGCATACTAAGAGGGCCTATTCCAAGTCACAATCAAGCAGTTCAGAGGTCAAGGTCAGTACCAGAAGAACAAAATAGGTCAGTCCAAATAGCAAAGAGTAGTCAAAGCCGGTCAGGAGTTGAAAGCCAGAGAGACAAGCCGAGGAGAAGCAGGTACCTGGAACTGGAGTGGAAGCCAAGCAGCCTACAGAAGCAGAGGCTGGGGCAAGATGACAGGCAGTTTCCAGAAACAGGCTCCAGAAGGCACAGAGAGATCCAACAACATGAAAAACAGTACTGAGGTGGCAACAGCTCTCATGCCCGCCTTTGCTGGCTGCCCCAAGTGCCGCTTGAGCATGCTCGACCGGAGCAGCAGGGGGTCTTCCCAAGCCCCTCGGTTGCCCCTTCCGTCACTGCTGGGCTTGGGCTCCATGACAGGGCATTAAACATGGTCTAGAACAGCCGCAGCTTGTCAGAGGCTTATCAGCCGAGAGTCAGGCACATGGCCAGAACCATGGCAGCTCTCATGGCTTAGCAGCCCCACCAGCACCTGCCCCTCATTTAAACAGAGAAAGGCTGTGCTGTGGCTGTGCCCAGATGTAGCCCATCTTCTCTCTGGAGTGTGAAGCGTCCTTGCATTCTCCCCACCATTGGAGGCTGGTGTCTGCTGTAGTGTTTTGCAGCTGGAAACAGGATGGAAGGGCGCAGCCCCCTGCAGGGCACCCCCTCCCCATCATGGAAGACCCAGTCCTTATTTAACACTTTTTGCCCTGCTGCCATCAGGGGAAGATTCATCTTCCAGCTGTTCTTTGCTTGAAGGGTAGAGAGGAAGGAACCCCCTGCCTCCCTGGAAGGGGGCTCCTGGCTGGGCAAAAGCACCTTGGAGGGGAGCTTTCCATTTGGACCCAAGAGCAGGAGAAGCGCCCCGAATGCCAGCTGTGCACCCTCAGCAGCCAGGCTGATAGTCCA